TGAGATTGCACACTAATGAGCAGTCTTTATTCACAGTGTCACATATTTGCTACTGTCTAGAGTCTTTTGACTTGGTTACCAGTCACATTTAACCAAGACTTGTTTTGAAACAATTAATTTTTAAAGTCATCTAGTGCATTTAAATTTTAGGCCAAAGTATTGTTTTTATAGACCGGTAATTATCAAACGCGTTTACCGAGTTTGTCTCTTTTGGAGTCAGGTCCAAAAATTTACTTACAAATATAAATGGTTTCGATAAAAATAAAAAGCAGAAAGCAAGTTAAGCAAAATAACTCTCAGGAAACTATCTCCGGCTTCTTGTAAATTGAAATAGCTGACTATCTAAAGCAGTTTAATGGTATTGTTTCTTATTTCTGTACACTAGCCAGTACGTCAGTTACTCTCAACCGTAATCCTTCACCGTTACGGAGGCTAAGGGTAAGGTTTTGCTGCTGTGTATCTTTTCAATAATAAAACAACCGCTCCACTTTCCATAGAAATTGTAAGACCACTATCTACGTTCCACGTACGCTGAGGTTAGACGTCGGGCAAGTGAACCACGGTTGTAGGACAGCTGAACTGTCTTTCGAAGTATTGCAAATGTTTCAGCCTTTCTTAGTGACCGCTGTCTCACTGACGGTCATCTCCTTGCTATAAGTATCTTTTAGAGGCCTAAATAATTATTGATTACCACCCAACTCCAGTCGATTTCCTCACTTTTGCCATTCACTGATGCTCATGCTTATTAGGAAGATTTTCCGGGTAAGACCGTGAATATAAACTGTCGCTCACTAATTTAGTGTTGTTGGTTGTTAACAGTCGTTGCAGCTACTTCTGTAGTACGGTAGATATTACATTAGGATTAATCCGAATGAAAATTACTGTTATTTCCATATCAACAACTAGGTGCCTCTTGAAGAAAGATAAACTTAGTGTTCTCATCTTTCAAACCGACACCAATCTCAAAGATTTAATTTTGATTGGCATATTTCTTAAGGTTCTAAATTCGTAGTCATCATCAGCCTGACTTAAACTCTGTGAAAATGAATTCAAGAAAATCAGGCATCTTTCACACGAGCTATGGTGCAATTATCAAATTTTGACCATTCGTTAGATTTTTAAAGATATGCATGCTTTCTAGAGCCTAACAGTTAACATATTTTTAGACTTTAAGATGGAATTCGACATTGTCGATATGTGGGTGTTGTGTTACTAGGTAACTGAAAACTGTCAAGAAAGCATATTGTTCGAATCAAGGTTTGTTACACAAATACGTCCAGCCATTTAAGGACCTAAGAGTTGCCATCTGGCGTGATGAAAACAAGTAGCATCCGCAAGAGACAGTCAATGGGATGATTAAAGACAACCAGATCAAACGATTGCAACAGTCCATGAAGCCTATGACTGTTGATTTAAACCATATAAGAAGATGTAAACTTTGAAACTGAGATACTCCTAAGAACTGAAATTATCAGTTATAGACTACAGGTGATATGTTATAGAGTAGGTCACTATGGCTGAGACACATTCAGATCTAATCTTTATCATAATTTAAAGCAACTGATCCCTTTGATAAATTTAAACAGCGTCATGAGAAGAAGAAGATTATCTGAAACATGTGATGTATTAGCGCTATACATTTCGAACAATCTGATCACACATGGACTTGTCGAACTATTTATGTGATGTGCCTGCTAGAGAAAATGAACACGGCTCAAAATTACATTAGCCTGACTTGTGAACAAGAGACGAACAACCATCTACCGTTCCTAGACATATTGCTCAGTCGACGGGAGGATGGCTCGATCAGGAGGTCGATCTATAAGAAACCTACATGGACAGGACAATATCTTAATTTCCATGGCTATTGCTCAGTCCAATATAAACGTGGTTTAGTTAGATGCTTATTCAACAGGATAAACCGTATCTGCACCGATGACACAAGGGAGAAAGAAACCAACTTACTAACGACAACACTGATACAGAATGGATGCCCGTTGGGATTTATCGACAAGTGCAAAAGTTATGTACCATTGAAAAGTACACAATGTTCTGTTGCTAAGACAGATGTCTACATCTCATTACCATTTATAGGTGATTCACATAGCTTTGTTTTGAGAAAAGACTTAGACCGGCCATCTGTAAAACGTATTATCCAACCAAGGTTATCATTGTAGAGGAGACAAAGTCCATGTTACAACACAAACCAAAACAACGTATAAACGATTACACCACATCCCACTGTGTTTACCAACTTACATGTATGTGTGGACACATATAGGGAGGAGTAGTCGTGATATGCAGTTAAGGAAGGTTGAACATGTACCTAAGTGGCTACAAAAACAAATGACCTCAACAGGTCCGATAAGTGCAGGTGACAAACATCCATCTTCGTCTGTCGCTAAACATATACTAGTAACTTACCGTAGATCAGAGTCGGGTGCTTAAATTTATTGAAGCTGTTGCCATCCGTAAATTCAAACCCCCTTTATGTATATAAGAACAACTTGTACTCACGGTTAAACCTACCTTGGTGGTACTGATTTTAATTTCCATACTAAGAGTAGCGTGATCAACGTTTTTTTCGTTTTTCTCTCCCTTCCTATTCCTATGTTTCCTATTCACTTCATTGGCCCTTTTCGTAAATTTTCACATAAATAGTTCGAGAAGTTCATGTGTGGTCAGATTATTCGAAATGTATAGCGCTAATACATCACATGTTTCATATAATTTTCGTCTTCTCATTACGCTGTTTAAATTTGTCGTAGTCGTTAGATAAAACTTCATTATTTTCTCTACTGTATCTACTTTTATTACAGCTTTCTATGGTTTTGATTTGCATTCCTTTCTGTCCATCTTGTTTCCTTGTGCGAGGCGTAGTAGCTTCACTAAACGCTATCTCTCCTGTTGATACGAACTAACTTGCTATCAATAGATTAGTAGAGCAAGTGTAACCTACAATAGTTGTCCTTTTTCCACTGAACGACTTTGAGACATGATTTTTCAAAGTAGAAGCCATGAGGAGGTCACGAGCTACTTAAACTAAGTGTCATATTATTATCACTTAGGTATCACAGAGCGACCATGTGAGAGACGCTATTTGATAACCTCACAAGGGGGCTGTACATAAGTTTCATATACTTATCTACCACTTTTCACAGCCCGCCACTGTATTGAAGTAGAATCAGGTTGGAAGAGTGCTAAAGTTAGTCAAGCCAAGACAGCAGTAGTTAATTTGATCCTCGACTTTGAGTTGGGCATTGAGATTTTGTAGACTGCCTAACTGGCTTCCCGTAGATGAGGATAATCAGTAGTTGAAGCCACTCAATGACATAACTCAAAATCAATCACAACGGTGCAAGTAAGTGTAGTCTTTATTACCTTCAGAAATTTCAATGTTTTCACCCACCTTCACTTGTTACTCTTCTCATCTCGAACACTTTCTACTTTAATATCATTTTTATCCACTGCCTCAATGCGTACTGCAGTGGAGCGTCGGAATCTCAGCCGCTACACCTTGGGGAATAATCGTATATCTATTTGTAATCCTGTGTATTTATAAAAAGGTTTTCGACATTTCCATATTTACCTCATGAAACGAAGTACACTAAACAACAGGAAGGTTAACACCAGCTGGAGAAAAGTAACATCATTTATGGTAATTTGACCGTCTGCAGTTATTTACTGCTCAAGAGAATAGAATTTGTCAATAAGAATTTGTTGCCAGTTTACCAACTTCCATATTGCTACTGACTGACTAGTTGTTATCTGAAATTCATTTAAAACTACTATATTTAGACGTATTTTCTTGTAGGAAGACTTTAATTCACTATTTTTAAGTCAGGAATGTACATAAACATGTCATGATCAAATAGCCAATACTTCCGTCTTTGATATTTATTAGTCCATCCTTGTGATAATAACCATTTGATCACAGCAAATTAGGAGCATAATACTCGACCACCCAGACTGGTGAGCAGTTAACTGGATAACATTACAGTGATTTCATGACCATAAAAACTACAGTTACAACATCTACTAACAATGAAAATTAAAAATGTTACATTTCATGTGACAAAAGGAATAAATTACTGACTGAGGTTGGTGTTGAAAATCCGGATCGTGCTCTTTGTGCTGAGTGCAGATCTCCATACTGGTTTCAGGCTAATGAATCCTTGTCTTGCTTTTCCGATTCTGACTTTGACATCCTCGTCAGTGCCGCCTGTAATTGAGACAGTGCTGCTTAGATAGGTGAAGGAGGCTACTTCCTTTAAGTTTCTCCTGTTGATGGTGATTGGAGTTTGTTGTTGGTGGTGGTGGTGTTGGTTGGATATCTTCATCACCTCTGTCTTCGCTGCCTCGCCTCTTCTGTCGACTTGTTAGTTTTCGCCTGTAGATCTTCAAGTTTGTGTAACATTAGACACAAGTCATCGGCGAAATCCAAATCTTCTTTTGTGGTCTTTTCATCGGTCCAGCTAGCGTATCCCTCTCTTCTCGCTCCTCACTGTTTGTTGCATGATCCAGTCGATCACAATCAGGAATATCATCGGTGAACAAACATGGTGCGGATATCCCATGTCCCCACGTTTACTTTCACTTTCATCGAGAGAAGACACACCGGTCGACTGGCTTCCTGAAAGCTTTCGCCAACCGGTGTCATTTCGCCTCTCCGATTCCAGCGAGGAATAATTTTGTTTTTATTTTCCATATTTTGTTTGTGCTTTGAAGTTTCTTTAGCAGTTGGATTGGTTTTACGGGGTGGGGTTGCTAGCCCTACGCTCAACCTTCCCTCTTTACCCGGGCTTAGGATCGCCTAGTAACTAGTGAACTAGTTAACCAGGCGAGGCTTTCAAAAAGTAAGTGGAGTTAAATCTATCTGCATTCTAAACTTAGCTCAACAACTCTTTGTAGGATGGATAATATGAATGGAAAATGAACCTTGGAAAAGAATGCCTGAATGCTTGCGCAAGCATCACATGAATTAGAGTGAAACTCGTATTTTAAAAAGATGCATCCAAAGAATAAAACAAAATCCATTTACAGGAACTGCTACACACTGAAACTATGATATCAAAATAGGTTAACAAACCAGCTGGAAGACTGATAGCTTGGTTGGGTCTGCTTGATACAAGAAACAATGCAGCTGATGGGCAGTAGCCAAGTTCCTTTAGAGATTGACACTCCTCTTCAGGTTCCAACAATCTATTTAAATAAAATGAAAAACCGGGTCATCATTGGAAGAATTCGAGCAAAATTTAAGTGGTCGCAAAAAATTTTGAGCTCGGTAACCATTTGCAGATATGCTTCAAAACAAACTTCATTACCTGTTAGTTTACATATTACAGGAGTAAATATATTTTATAAATAAGGATCTAAAAAAATAATAGTTGTGCTTTTGAACAATAAAATCATCACTCTACGAAAAGATTAGACTAGATGACGCCAAACGAAACATACCTTTTAGGATGTAGTTCCAAGAACCGATAGCCTTTTGTGATCAAGTTTGTGAAAATTCTGCTGGTAGACTCGTTTAAAACTGGTGAGTCATCATCGAACTGGAAATTGCGAGATGCCATTTCTTGCAGCCAGTTACGCACATCTCCTGAAAGAGTAGCGGTAGAAGGGAAACGCTGGACCAAATGACCGCCTTCCAATGACCTTAACTGAAGCCGAACCTACAAGAGAAGAAGGATTAAAGAATGCCCGTGATTTTATAAATCACAATTATGCAATAGTGGTCTAGCATCACTTAAAGCAACCTCGCCTGGTTAACTAGTTCACTAGTTACTAGGCGGTCCTATGCCGGGATAAAGAGGGAAGGTTGGGCATAAGGCTAGCAACCCCACCCCGTAAAATCAATTCAATCGCTAAAGAAATTTCAAAGCAAAAAAAGAATATAAATAATGAAAATAAACCTATTGCTTATCGGAATCAGGGAGACGAAATGACGCCAGTTGGTGAAAGCCTTCGAGAAGCCAATTGACCGATGTGTCTTCCCTTCTCTCGATGAAAGCGAAAGTAAACCTGGGGAGATGGAATGTCTATACAATACTTGAAGCTGTCTGGCAAGGCTTCCCAGATTGCCAAAGAGATGAGAAGGTACGGCACTAAAGTGTTAGGATGGGAGTCTGTGGAAGCAGATGGAATGGAAGTGGACTCTCCAAACTGTCAAATGGGTAGTCAATGATCTACTCCAATATTGTCACTCAGATGACAACCACGAGCACACTGAGTTATCGAGTGGCTATCATGATTTCCCCTTGAAGAGATGTATTAACTAGCTATGTGTAAGTTCATGCAACAGGTCAAGGGACAAATAATAATACTATAATCCATTAGAGCGTATAAATGTCTTTCAGCAGGCGAGCAAAGAATTTGTTACTAACCAACCCGATTGGTCTGGTGCAACTACCCAATTAAGTGAAGCGGTCGACACGTTCCACCACTCCACTCTCCATCCTTTAACTCGGAGTGCTTGCAGTACACCAGTCCTGGAGCACCATCTCACACTTGACAAGTGCAACACACATCCCAGTCAAATATGCTACATCTTCTGCTCAACTTGTTCAAAAAACCCTACATTTTGTCAGCGTCTTCACCAAGCGCGACAACATTGTCTGCATACTCCAAGTCATCAAGATGCCCTACAGGGTGTAGGGCAGGATTTAGAAACTGGACCATAATTGTTCACACTTTGAGTTAAACTTGTGAGTTTTATTGGTTTTTTTACCCTTTTGTATATTAGGAAGTCTTTTGTAGCGAAATTGTTGGTCACAGTATTCTCGCTTTAAGAATAAGTCTTTCTGAAGCCTGTGTGGTGTTATTAAATATTTCGTTCTTTGTCTCTTTGAGAAGTTGACTATGAATCCAGTTAGCTTTTCATTTTTGGCGAACCTTTCACAGAGAATATTTTTATTGCTGATGTCTACGCTATTTTTCACTCAATGGTGTCATATGCTCTGTTGTGTTGATTATTTAAATCATTACAGTTCGGGGCTGTTTATTTTTATATTTCCTTTTGTGGTAAAAACTTAATGTAAGTACTGGTTAAAGACACGGAGGTTGACAAAAATCTAGCTGTCTATTTCTAAACTCAACACATGATCCATTTTATGTCAGGTGCGGACTTGTTTTATCTGAAGATATTCTTTAAGCATGAACGGTGAATTACAAACGTTAAGACAATGAAAAGAATTCAGTAGAACACCATGAAAAAGCTGTAAACATTTACAGCATAGTGCCCAACTCCTTTGTAGTACTGATCCACAATGCCAAATTGAATTAAACCTCAGATTTTCAACTTCCAAGGGATTCCTTACCTCTTAATTTCTGATTTGTGATAGTCTTTCAAAGATTCTGATTTTATCCAATTCACAATATTGTGCAACCGTTAGTCAATGTCATCTGTCGGTTTCTTCCCTTACTTGTGGCTTCCCTAATTCTACACATCCTGGTTTCTGTTTGGTTCTTAGAGAAAGGCATTTTGAGATTACAGTTTGTGGTTGTAGTCACTAATGGGACCGAATTATCATTCAATCAAATGGAATGCCTGCAATTTATGGTCAAGAAAAGGTTTTCGCTTATGAATATCAATTTTTGAACTGTAAGTTACTTACTGAAAGTCCTAAGCTTAATCCTATATCGGGTTATGAGTTCATTGTAGTGCTGCTTCACTTCACCGCGTCAGGTTTCTCACAGCTTTTTCAATTTCTGCAAGTGTTGAAGGCCCTATCGCAATATTCCATTCCGGATCTGACAAGATAAAATAGTGGGCAACAGAATAGTAGCTGGAGGCCAATTTAACCTTTCCTCGGAGTGCCTCGCCTATAGTTTCATTCGTCTCCACTGTGAGTGAATCTCAAACCCATCCTTCTCCACTATAATCTCCTCACTAACCGCTGATCTGGTCCTTTGCTTCACTCCATTTTCCGTGATCAGTCTAGGTAACAACCCTTATTATCTATCGCCGCTCTTTTCTTTCTCTTCAGCCTTCACTAGACACCACTACACGTGGTCATTGCGTAAACATCTCGTCAGCCTACTTTTGGGTTGCTTCCGCTCTTCACTGTACTCGGAGCCTCAAGGAATGTGTTCCACCGGATTCATGAATTCTGAAGAAGCCATTGACATTCACTGATCTTTTCTAACCACTTTCTGAGAGTAAGCTACAGTTAACTCGGCTGTTGTTATGGGAAACTGAAGATAACGGAGTGCAGATGCGAAGGTGTCTGCCACACCAGAAATTCATAGTATATCAGATGTGAATTGAGAAATATGATTCAGACTATTTCTGGCGGAGAGTACTTACCGGTGGTGGATAATACGATACTAGTGGAGGTCTGAGGTCGGTAAATGCGATAATCTCACCACCGTTCAGATTTGTTCTCTGGTGAATTGTTGTTGTTGGGAAAAGTTTCAATGTCGTACTCCCTTGTAAAGCTTTGATGTTTATATCTAGACTGATACTGAAGCATCTGTCAAATGAAACCCTATCTCCCTGACCAGTAGCTGCTCGCTTGAAGTTGTGAATGGGCTTGCATATCACAATGACTCAATGAGGTATGCTGGTAGAACCTTGTTGCCTCGAGGTCATACCATACCAGAAAAGTCTTGGATAGCCATGAGATAAAAGGCAGTCACCGTTGTAGTGTAAATTACTACACTGTGATGGGGATCTGAGGATGAAGTCGTAATGCTGCTAGTTGTGGGGGGTGTTGCCCTTTGATTACCGGCAATACCATGTTGATGCTGCCATTCCAACGTGAAGCATGGATTAGAAAAGGTCGTCCCCAGAATAACTCTCCTTCCTTTCTCACGATCTTACGGTGCTGGTAGTGACTGTAGTGTCATTCTGACATTTTTACTGGTGGGAAATGCATTATTCTCTTAGCAATTTTGTTGCTGATGATCAACGCTACTTTTTGGATCGATGAGGATTTCGAAGGTGCACATGTTGTTATACTTATGCTAGTGGACAGTTTGATCGTTATGATCGTTTGTATTTTCAATTTTTTTTCTGTTGAATACCAATGTGAAGCCTATAAGATGAACACTGGCAATCTGTAAGGCTGAGAGGAATCTATTTTTGTGGTGAATCTTTTTATCATTAGTTCTTAAGGAAGGCAGTATGAGACAGAACTGCTGGCCATGGAGAATAAATGCCTTTATGTTGTCGCGCCCTTGTGGCCCAATTTAGCACATGCTATTTACTTAGTGACGATGACTACCTTTAGTCTCATCACTATCTAGCAGACCTTCACGGTAAGGATTTATGTTAAGTGCGTTCAGTTCCATCAGCCACAACTTGTTGTGTCACTGTCATCATCATCATCATCATTATCAACATAGGACCAGGCATTACTGCGTAACGGTCCGAGTTGCCACACCTCATATCAGCACATCAAGTAAAAAGGTAGTGAGGTGAAGGATGAAGATAAGTGAATGCAGTCAAAAGAAATATAAAGTATGAGAAGAAAGGAAAGAGGAGTGACAAAATAGTGAGATTCGGTATAGCGTTGTTAAGATGAGGATAATGTGTGTATACATCTGCGCCACTGACTTCGGTTCTGAGCCATATCACCTAGGGTCTCCAACCACTGGTTCCTCTTGTCCCGTGGACCCCAACCACCTAGTCTGCATCGTCCTACATGGCTTAAACCAACAGTCAGAGACTTCATACATTGGTGCCATGTTTTAGTCTGGCCACCTCGGGCCTTTTTCCAGCCTGAACCCACCTCAGCCAACATTGTGTGACGAGGCAATCGGTGACTAGGCATACGTAGTACGTGTCCCAACCATCTCAGTCGATGAAGGTTCACAACCTCGTCGACTGACTTACCTCTTCTCCCTAAAACTCTACACCTAACTTCTGCATTACTCACATGGTGACACCACGGAATACGTCCTATACTACGAAGGCAACGGTGGTCAAATACCTGTAACCTTCTCATGTCTTCCACTTTCAATGGCCATGTTTCACAGCCATACAGTAGAACAGAGCGGACTGCTGTGCAGTACACGCGACCCTTAATAGACAAACGAATATCACGGCGGCGCCATAGGTGGCGCAAATTGGCAAAAGCCAATCGAGCCTTTTGTATCCGTGCAGAAATCTCATCGGCAACTAACCCACCGGAGTTGATCCTACTTCCCAGGTAAGTGAAGTGGTCAACACACTCAACCACTTCACTCTCTATTGTTAACCGCGGTACCGCTGAAGACCAGTCCTGGAGCAAAAATTTGCATTTGGGTGGTGAAAATCGCATCCCAAACATTCTCAAATTCCCACTCAAAGTGTTCAGAAGACTCTGCATCTTGTCAGCGTCTTCACCTAACAGGACTATGTCATCTGCATATTCTAGATCTAAGGAAAATTCACCTGTGGTCCGGTCAACGTCTTTGTAATTAGGTGACGAGAGGGAAACCTCCATAAGAATATCTATGATAAAATTAAATAAGAATGGGGATAGTGGGCATCCTTGACGGACACCACTTGATGAGTATAGCTCCCTGGACAACTCACCATAGGCTCTAACATGCCCACAAGTGTTCGAGTAGAGAGCTTTCAATAAGGTGA